TGGCAACATAAAACCTCTTGCAAAATAAGAAAATAAAAAAAGTGCACCTGGTAATGCTGGATTTAGTAAATGAAAAACAGATCGGCAGTGGTTCCCAACTAGTCTTGCGTAGCCAGACCTTCAAACTGATGGCAGAAGGTCTAAACTCCTTAGCAGCTTTCTGCCGCCAAGGATAGACATCGGCTTTCTGCCGTCTGACACATGTAAAGCAAACAATCACAGTTCATTTTGTTCCACGTCATGTTTAGGGGTATGAAAATGTAAAATGTCCCCACAATAACAGACCGCTGTGCAATTCAATCAAGAATGTTGTGCAAGTTTACTGCAACAATGGCAATGTGAACTTCGCATACATTTGAAAATCCAGCATTAAGGTGATCCTGATAAGCGCTCATTGTCACAATTGTAAACATGACGGCTTTCTTCTTCCATGGAAGTTTGGCGTAACAACGGCTTTGTTTCCAGGCGGACCATTAAAGAACGTAACACACATTTCCTGGAAATTCTGTACAATTTAATCAGATGACGACTTCGAAACTCTCCAAGTGTTTCCCATTTTGTGTGTCTTATGCATCGTTAAGGACGTTCAGTCAGCGGTCCATGGGTTTGACGGCTGAGGCTAAGATTACTTCCCAACTAACTTTAAAGGTAGTTGAATCAGCTGCCATTTTGGTTTTTTTTACATGACAAAGCTGAGCATGCATAAACAATGAGTTTTATTACAAGCATTGTTAAAAAGAAGCAGAATAACAAGAAGAAAAAAAAAACTGCATTAATATCTTTTATAGATTTATTTACACATGTCAATGATGCTTCCAATTTAAAGCAATTAACAGACAGTACCCTACAAATAATTGTTTTATCAGAACGTGTGTTTATTTTGATCCCTGGGAATCCAACTCAAGATTTTTACTGACACATACACACACATATCCCAAATATTTATAGTTTTCTTCCTCACCTCTTTCTCTTTTTGCCAATCAATTTCTTTCTCCACCACCTCCGCCACAGCTTTAGACCAGTCAGCTGTTAGCTTTCGCAGGTCGTCCCTCAGGGCTTCATTAGCCTCTGTTGATTGGCTGAGCTGACTCCGCAGAAGAGCACTGACCTCCGACAGCCCCAAACTTCTGCTCCAGTGAATAAACACAACTTAGTCACAGGAAATCAGGCACTATAAACATAAAAATCCTTCTTACATAGCTCACACACCTCTGCTGTTCCTCCTCCAGCCTGATGAGGGTGCTTTCCAGCGTGTCACTGCGTTCATCCCGCAGTATCCTCTGTGAAATTCACAGCGTTAATGTGAAGCTCACAGCAAAACACTGCGGATTGTTGTTTGTCTCACCTCTCTGATCTTCAGCTCTTGCTCCTCGCTGATCGACTGCTGCTCCAGGGCTTGACAGCGAGCCCTGTACTCCAATACCTGACAAACACATGCATGACAGCACATTAATTACCAGTGAGGGACTGTTTGGTACTAACTGAGATATGATTGGTCCTCATAAATGGGTAGGCTAATGGGGCATTCACATATGCAGCATTTTGTAATCGCTGGAGGTTGCTGAGTGATTGTAGTGGCTGGTCTAGATTCCCTTTGATTATTAGTGGGCATTGCTTTTGAAAACCTGATCACAAATGGGCTTTATTGCTGGTAAAATAAGATGTCTTTTCAGTTTGACAAGGAATCAGTTTTCTTGCTGCTAAAAAAAGACTGAGGAAAGTGTTTCAATATAAATCACTGAAATGTATGATATCATGAACAAGATGACTGATTATCTGTGCATGAATTATAATAAAATGGCAATAATTTCTAACATGGTTTTCAATTCACCATGTTTTTATTATATTTGGCAGTGGTAAATCATAAAGGCTATAGAAGTGAAATAGCTCTGAGTAGCATTTAGGGTTCCTGCACTCTCTGACTAATGAATTGCCATGAATTTTCCCATCTTTGTTAAGGATTTTTAAAAATACTTTTTTAGAAAATTGTATTTGCAATTAGTATTCATAGCTGAAGAAATACTTTAAAACTGAGTTAACTAGAAAAACTAATATTGACAACAGAAATTTTATTATTTTATAAATCCCCGGCTTCACTTTGGAGCTCACACTTTGAAAGAGGAAAAAACTGCTTAAAAAAAAGCTAAAACTACAAATCAAGAAAGTTCTTATTTAATTCACCACAAACTTCTGGAATTCTACAATTTAATTATTTTAACTATAATTATTTTAGCTACTTATTTTAATTTGTATATTAAAGAGGCAAGAGGGCTTCAAATACATTTGTGGAGAACGCCTTGGAGTAAAAAAAAAAGTAGAGAATCACAATCATAGAGTTAAACTTCTCTCAACTTTGCTGTTGCTCATGTCATGGAAATACGTACTGTAAATTAATAACTTCCAGTCTCACTGCCACTGCATATTGCTGTATATGTGAATCCCTCTTAAATGTTTTAGATATAAAACTAGAAAATTACAAGATCCATGATCTAAAAGTAGAAAGATAAATCTTTACAAGGATCTTCAGCCGCCATCTCTTATATAAAGGAATATTAAATGTGTGTACACATATTCCAGACCTTGTTCTGAAGTTTATGGATGAGCAGGGCCTGTCTGGCTTCTCTCTCTCTGCCCTCTCTGAGCTTTCTCCGCCCTTCTCTCTGCTCATTGTCCAGATGCACTGATAATGACAGAGAAGGGTCCAGTGTCTGAGACAGCTAAACAGCATGGGTACAAACACACAGAGAGACCATCAGTTAAGAATCAGTTCACTTTGTTATTGATGGACCCCACATGCCAATGGCTTCCTCCTCCTCACCCTGTCAGTCAAAGCTTGAGCTCGAGACTCAAGCTCCTCCCTCTCCGCTCTGCTCTCTGCTAACTCATCCTGCAGATGTGATAACTCCGCCCTCAGCTCCGCCCTCTCCTGCTGCCATCCAATCAACAGCTCTGATTCCATACCTGGCCATCAGCTGTGGAAAATAAAAACATATATTTGGATGAAATGATTAAAGGTTACATGAAACCCTATACTTGGAACTGGATATTACACAATAGGTAAAAAAAAATGTAGGATGGGAATGTAGGATATTATCCATTGGCAAATTGATTGGATTGTGAAAATTAGTCACATACTATAGGTGATTAGGGGCTACAAAACAAGGATTTTAAGTTACAGCAAAGCAAAACAAGACATAATATTTCAATAAGAGATTGACATAAACATATTTAGTATTTGGAATAACACACACGGATAAATTTCTCACAATAAATAATGTGCATTTTGATTTCATCAGTGATGAAATGTTAATAGAATCCTAATATTTATTAGGAAGTGTTTTGCAGATCACCTGTAAATCCATCCAGAAAAGGGCTGATATTACACACTTAGATTATCGGTTATGGGACTCTATTGACTGTATGTATATTGTAAATTTATAAGATTAATATGTTGCCATTATTTTATAGCTTGGACAGCTTGATACTTTAATTATATATATATATATATATATATATATATATATATATATATATATCCAAACAGTAGCTGGTCCCCATAATATATGCAACGTTATGTGTGTAGCTGCTATGTACTACTAGTCAATGCGTATCGAGAGATTTAAGTTGCTTTTTAAAGTCTCTATTAAAGTGCAAATATAACGTAGTAGCTTACTTTTGAAAACACGAATACTTCACTGTGTCCATTCACGTTATGCTGTCTGAAATAACAAGCAAAACTTCGGATGTACGTGTTTTAATCTTGTTTTTCTGCCTTCCTGCAGCATCCGGATTTGTAACTGTAAAATCGAATGTTTTGAATGAGCACTGCCCGCGTGCGTCAATGCGTGTGGTGTGGACAGCGCCACCAGGCGACTCGGAGACATGTTTTCTATCTGTTTACTGCTGTGTACCGTATTATAATCAACATTTGGGGCGATATTATGCCGTATAACATGTAATCGAGGCTCTTTAATTCCATTGAAAATCAATAGGAAAAAAATATATATATTTTTTGATATTAAATTTTGATGAAAATATTGAATAATTCTGGGTAGGCTACAGAGTATGAATCCAGAGGGTTTTCAGATGAATTCACCTTTAAAATAATATTATTTAAAGAAAAATAATAATTAAACAATAATGTTGAATAAGATATGCATAAAGTAATTATTTTATAATATTTACCAGAATTGCAAAAAATATATGTTTTCCTTTTTTCTAAATAACCGTTGTTTGTTTTTTGAACTATTTGAACTACAGATAGTATTGAGTTTATCATATGAGATAGGTGTGTTTCATGTCATGACACTGGTTAGAACAATCTAATCTAGTGTAAGCTGATTAGAACAGAGGAAGGTAGGACTTGTTTTACATAACATGCAGAGTTGCTGCACTTTTTTTCAAGGGGTTTTGAAAACAGAATTAAGTGAAATTTTGACACGCTCTGCTATCTGAAGGCAACACATTATAAACCGATTATTTCTGGTGCTAGGTCTCGTTTTTGTTTGTTTTTTTAATGACATGTTGATTCTCTGGTCCTGTTATCTTTTTCTCACATATCTTTCTCTCTACCTCTCCTTCAACTTCCTGAGAAGTTTACTCGTGCTGGACAGTGAAAAGCAAAAGGTTACTGCAAAATTTCACAGAAAGAGGCGGCGGAGGGGAAGGTCAAGGATGTCCAGGATGGGTTTCCAACACTAGTGCACACTAGAGCCCAGATCAGCACTCAGTCAGTGGAGGGAGAATATCATCCAACCACTGGACAAGGTAGTTCCTGACATGTGTTTGCATTATAACATGCTTTGAATAATGTATTCTGTCAGATCTTACATAATGGCACACAACTATGTATGACTAGAGACAAAACATGACTGGTTTGTAATGTTTATGTTCCCCCAATGAGTAAAAAATAGCAAGACACTCATTTTGTATGGATCTATTAATTTATTCAAAAATACATTAAAAAAATGCAATTAATACATACACTACAATAACCTGAATATAAATGTTTTATGATGAGAATGTTTTTAATTTATAAAATAAAATACATGGTGAAATTTGATGAGAGGACCCTCATGAAAATGAGGGGAAATTAGTTTAGTAGTTAAAATGTCATGTGGAGTGAACTTAAATCTTTATGATACTAATGAATACATTTTAAAATATTAATTGCGAAATTTGAAATTCTCAATGCATCATAAAATGAAAAGGAAAGGTGAATAAAGGTTGTCCAGAGAATTAAGGTGGGTCCTGGCTCTTTCATAAATTATGTTTCACACAATGCCACCTAGTGGACACAAGAAAGAAACATCAAACATGCAGGTCAGACGGGAAGCATGAAAAACTGGTTACATTAGTTAACATGAACTAACAATGAAAAACACTCCAATGGTATTTATTAATCTAGTTAATTTGAACATTTACTAATAGATTGTTAAAAATCCAAAGTTGTGTCTGTTGATGAAACTAACATGAACTAACAATACTTACAGTTAACTAACATTAACAGAGATTTAACAAATGTATTGCTGATTGTTAGTTAATGTTAATTTTTGTAAAGTGTTAAATTTTACTAAAAGTGAAATGACTGTACCACAGTTATACAAGATGTTTATTTTGTGAATGTCTAGAAGACTTGGTCCGTCTCGCTGGCCAATGGGAATATAAGGGTCTGGTTTAGGGATGATAGTGGGTCCCCCATCCTCTGAGAATGCATACCTGTGTGTGCATCAGCAAAAGTCTTTGGTTTAAGGGAATGTTTAGTTGGAACTATATGGACTACATTTTTATGCATTTCAGATTATCCACTAATATTTTAGCAGAAGGATGCATACTGTATAGATTTTCCAATACCCACCTCCCATAGTGCATTACAGAATTGTAGTCATATGCTGTATTGAGGTTGTTTGTGTCATACTTCCTAAAGTTGTGCCTTTGATCTATATAAAAAGAAACCAGACACCACTGTTATACTGAACATATCAGGCTTCAATAATTACAGTGCTAGTTTCAAAAACTTACTCTCTATGATGTTTTCCCACAGGACGGAAACATAGTGGTCACGATCAGAGCGGGACTGCTCGTGTACAAATCCCAAAGCGTGCATTATCTCATGGGATGCCACCCCTGACCACATACAGCCCGGTGACTGCAAAGACACAGTCTGACTGCCTCCTGTCATTCCCAGATATGACCAGCAGCTATAAGGACGACAGTGGATGGAAATCATTATAGTAAATAGGTAAATGAATGCCGTTTAAAATTTGGGGTTTGTAAATAAAATAAATTAAAAAAAAATCTCTCATGCTCAAAATGTTTAGCTGAATTTTTAGCATCATTACTCTAGTCTTCAGTGTCACATGATCCAGAAATCATTCTAATATGCTGATTTGCTGCTCAAAACATTTCTGACTATTTAAAATGTATTATTGGAAACAGGATAGGCTTCTTAATATTTTCATGGAAACCCTGATAAATGTTTTCATGATTATTTGATAAGAATGTTCAAAAGAAGAGCATTTATTTGAGATAAATAATAATTTATTTTGAGACAAATGCATTTACTGTCACTTTTGACCAATTTATTGCACTATCAAAACAAAAATGTTCTGACCACAAACACACACATACGCACATATGTATTGTAATGTCATAAATAATTAAAACACTAAGAAAACATACATATCCAAAAGACTCTTTAAAAATTAGGATCAGACTTTGTAAGAGGAAATATTAAAGAGAACTTAGAAAAATGGGACAAATGACTATGCATGACTACAATGGACTCACCCAGATCTAGACTGGATATTAATGAAGTCAGCTTGATGTGTGCGAGGCACAAACTTCACACATGTTGCAGAGGAAATGTCCAACATTCCTGTTTCTATAGTGATTCTGTCCATATCATCTGTTGAGACACAAATCCTATTATTTCTTATTTCATATCAAAAACCTTGATTTAACTTTGACCAATAATATTTATCAAGACCTGTTATGGGGTTTAATGTAGAAATCTCACTCACCATATAGTGGGGAAATGATGTAAGGTACATACACAAAACCATCAACGGATTTGGGCCAGCGGCAAGAATCTCCTAAACATGTGATGGCACTGCGGGATCCTGAACTCACTATGTCACCCTCCCGTAATGGAAAACCTCTGGACACTGAATGGTGGAGGAAGATAACCACATGTTTCATGCTCAAGGAGTCATTCCCTATAAATGTTTGTATCTGTTATGCACATACGTTGGTTTGCTCTGAGGATCCTGTCCATGGCATTCATCTCCTCTGGGTCCACGTATTGCTCTGTTGAGAAAGTTAGGAATGGTACATTTACATCAATTCAACACTCAGAAAAAAAGGTACAGAAGCTGTCACTTGGGCTGTACCGTTACAAAAGGTACACTTTTGTACCCAAAAGCTGCACATTGGTACCTTACTGGTACTTATTAGCACCTAAGTGTACATATTAACACCTAAAATGTACATATTAGGACCTAAAATGTACATAATTACACCTAAAATGTACATATTTGCACCTAAAATGTACATACTAGCACCTAAAATGTATATATTAGCACCCAAAATATACTTATTAGCACCTAAAATTTACATATTAGCACCTAACATGTACACATTGACACCTAAAATCTACATATTAGGACCTAAAATGTACATATTAGCTCCTGAAATGTACATATTAACACTTAAAATGTACATAGCACCTAACATGTACATATTAGCACCTAAAATGTACATATTAACACTTAAAATGTACTTATTAGCACCTAAAATGTAAATATTTACACCTAAATGTACATATTTGCACTTAAAATGTACATATTTACACCTAAAATGTACATATTTGCACCTAAAATGTATATATTAGCACCTAAAATGTACTTATTAGCACCTAACATGTACATATTAACACCTAGAATGTACATATTAGCACCTAAAATGTACATATTAGCTCCTGAAATGTACATATTAACACTTAAAATGTACATATTAGCACCTAAAATGCACTTATTTAGCACCTAAAATGTACATATTTAAACCTAAAATGTACATATTTAAACCTAAAATGTACATATTAGCACCTAAAATGTACATATTTGCACCTAAAAATGTACTTATTAGCACCTAAAATGTACATATTGACACCTAAAATCTACATATTAGCACCTAAAATGTATATTAGCACCTGAAATGTACATATCAACACTTAAAATGTACATATTAGCACCTAAAATGTAGATATTAGCACCTGAAATGTACATATTAGCACCTAAAATGGACAAAAGTTTACCTTTTGAAAAGGTACAGCACCAGTGACAGCTTTTGTACTTTTTTTCTGAGAGTGAATGTAACAGCCTGGACTGCTCATGAAGCACCAGTTTACCTGAATATTCTCTCTTTGACCTCAGCCTTGTATGATGGACCAATGAAGAGTTCTAATACAAAAAAAAAAAAAGATTTATTTGGTGGATATAAATAATATCAGCATGACTGAAGTAGTACTCTTACCTGCACAGGTAAAGACCAGGACTCTAACACCAATCCCACAAAAATACTAACACAGAGCATAATGGTGGTCACTTTGCACTTCACTTTGGAGTGCGTCCTGGTGTTCTGGATGTAATCGGGTTTTGCATGTTAAGGCCCTGTAAGCAAGGATATATACTCTCAGGGTAACACCCATCTTTACTCCAGATTGCAAATGGAGGGTTAGTATGACGTAGCGTGTCATTATTTCATATTCAAGTGTTTTCCTGATGAAAGGTTTGGAAAGCATTCATGTTGCTATCAGTTAGTTCTTTCTTGACACTTCAGCATTTTTAAGATTGATCACTACAATGGCGATTTGAAATCTTGCTGATTCTTGTGTTATTCACTCTGACCAAGCACAACATGTGCAGGTAGTGTTCAAACTCAACATCATCTATATTTGTGCTGTATTTGCTGTATCATCTATATTTGTGCTGTACTTGCTGTATCATCTATATTTGTGCCAAAATGTGGTGCTAATAAACAACCCCTCACTCTTCTCTTAAACATATCATTTTTGCATTACTGCAAATAACAGGTTGTTTTAAAGTCAGCTTGTGTAATTCATGCCTCCATACATATTTATTAGCGCTGAGATCATCTGATTCTGCACAATATTTCTAACAGTTTGACTGATGTCACTCTCATTTGGAGATTTATTTTGCAACTAATAATTACTATTTTGCAATGCAATGAAAGCTTAAATGAAATATCAGGAAAAAAAATATGTATATGGACATGTTTTATTAGTGTAATGTGTTTATATAAGGCATCAAGGATGAGACTGAATACACGGAAAGCAGGTTACAGGTTACAAAATAATGTTCCTAATTACTTATTATATTTGATTAGCAAGCAATCTTCACAATGAGCCATTTTACTTCATAATGTTAAAATGTTACAATAAAAGAAGTAAAAGCATTAATGCATTAATAATGTCAGACTTTAGCCTTGTGATGGATCATTTGTTGTTGTGAATGGATTTCATTACACATTACATTTATACAGTTTATTAATCTTCATTATATCCAAGTCGCTGGGCCCAAATCTCTGTCCAATCTTCACATTCCAGTTCCTTTTTGGTACAATAGTAGGTTCACCGTCCTCAGAGAAGGCGTACCTGAAATGACCAAGAATACAATTACATAATTGCAGTTTCTTATATAGAGTTATCATTTCAAATGTACTTTGCGTTAACGTACTTTCCAAAGTGCATGACAGAGCCGTAGTCATAGGGGGTGTCCAAGATGTTTGTTTTAAACTTTTCAAAATTCCTCAGCCTGTCTATATTTGCGAGCAGAAGAATATGTGAGCCATAAAACTGCATATTGGCATTTAAGTATAAGAATATGAAATATACAAATGCTCTTTTACCTTTCCATATATTGGACCACATGATGGTGACATACTTGTCCCGATCGGGTCGGGATTGCTCATGCACGAAGCCCAGGGCGTGCATGAGCTCATGGACAGTGACCCCTGACTCGGTGCAGTCGGGTGTCTGTAGAGAAATGGTTTGTCTGCCACCACGTGCCCCCAGATATGACCAGCACCTACAGTATTGACAATCAAAAATGATGAGAATCACTCAAAATAATCATGCATCTTAAGAAATCAATCTGATGTTTATACCCTGTTTTGGGCTGAACGTCCAGGTAGTCCCTCTGGTGAGTTCTGGGCACGAAGCGCACACAGGTGTCCTGTTCAATGAGTTTCATGCCTTTCTTAATGTTCTTCACGTCTGCATCGCCTGCAGAGCAACAGTCAAAACCAAATAATAAGATTTACTTAGTTGGTGACACATGTGGCACTGTATATGAAAATGAAAAAGCCTGCTTACTGTACACATGAGAGAGTGAGTATGCAATGTACACATTTCCATCCACGGATTTGGTCCACAGGCAGCTCCTGGCAAAACAGTTCTTCTGACTCCTACCGGATACGGCTATATCTCCTTCTCTGAGGTTGGTGCCATCCACGGAAACGACACCTATAGAGAAGAAGAATAAAGATTTTTTTTAATGGCTTCCAATGCACAAAATGTTCTGTATAGTGGGAAAGAAAAGTTTCTTTAGATTATTACATTGTTCTTCACATGAAAAAAAAAAGGTTCTTTTAAGAAATTTACACTAAAGGTTTTTTGATGACCTTTTTGGAATTACACTTTTTTTAGGGATATTACAGTAAAACAGAAGCTAGAACATTCGCATCTTCACATACTTACACCGCAAAACGTTTACCTTGATAGTCATTTACATCTATGATCTTGTCCATGGCAGTTTGATTGTCTTCTTCAATATCATCTGGCAAAGAGATAGTAATGTAACTGTTAAAAATAATGTAATTGATTTACAACAAAAAATGATCATACAATACAATACAATATACCCGCGTAGCTTCTCCTTTGTCTTCTTGCTCCAAAATTCGATTGAGAGGAAATCTGCAGAATAAATGTATTAAAATATGTGGTTTTGATTAATATAAACAACACATACAGTGACTCGTATGCAATTACCTGAGCAGGCAGGGATAAACATGGTCCTGCTAAGAAGAAGACGAGGATGACGAGAAGCAGTGTGTACTCCATGAGTGCACTGAGGTTTGCTGTCTAACGTTAGGTGGAAGCTGTCTGCTATTTAAGTACTCTTCGCCAGCTTCCTGTTACATAATGTGTACTCTAGGTGGCCAGCCAAATGTTTGTTTTTCTGCTTTACGCTGTTTTTAATTATCACATGCTCTTACACATACTTATAAATACTATTTTCATATGGGTGTTTTTATTCATTCCACCATCACGTAAAAGTTTTGTCCGCCCGAACAGGGACTTGAACCCTGGACCCTCAGATTAAAAGTCTGATGCTCTACCGACTGAGCTATCCGGGCTCCGTAGAAGCGAAAAGTCACGTGGGCTTGAAAAAAATTTCGATATAATTGAAAAGAAACGTTTCAATTATAATCCATGTTTGTATATTTTCCACGTTGCAATCATTCTGATGATCCGATCATTTATTATATCGGTCTCGTTTGAACGGAAGAATTTAATATTAGAAAATAAACATCGGCTATGTTGATCATCCAATCAAATTTCCTCGGAAATTATTTAGAGGGATACATGTGTGGTACAAAACGCAATTGGTAAGTTAACGCAAAACGGTTTCCTTTGCTGTAATGGAGACCCCATTAAATTCTACAAACATCATATTTCAAGACGATACGGAATTACAGGTGAGACTCGCGGCACCGCGTGTACAGTCTGTGGTTTATCCACAGTAATAAGTACGAACTTCACATGTATTTTCGTACTCACTTTTGTATTTTGTTTTGTTTGTCGCTGACAGGATTTGTTAAAACAAATCAATGATGCCAAAACTGAACTACAACTTACCAAAGACGAGGTGGAGCAAGTAAACAAAGATGTTAAGAAATGGTAATTAATACTATACCATCATCATCTATCTGAAATGATGACTCAGCATGTATTTAACGTTATGTCCTAAACATAGTAGGAAAATCATAGGTTATCATTTTACCTTAAGAACAAATCAAATCAACATTTCATATAGCCTAGTTCAGAAGCACTTTGCCTATATAAAAAAGAATAATATAGGCCTAATATCATGTATTGAGTAATTATTTAGCTATCAGGGTTTTAGGTTACCTTTCTATTGATGAATCCTCTTAGACGTTAATATTACTTTTAGCAGAGAGGAGATGGACCGAAGGATAATGATGATGGTCCAGGTGGACGAAGGCCTCTGGAATTCACTGCTTGAACTGGACGCTCTCATGCAGGAGAAGAAAAGTCTCGCCAATCAGTTAGAAGATTTCACTTTGAATGAGTATGACAATCCAGTAACACTGCTGATCTACAAGCCCTCTGTATTGTTCTATTGTTCAATTAGATCCTTCGAAAAGAATATGTTGTGCTATATTGCATTGATTATTTTTTGATCTAATAAGAATTTGGTTAAAGACCTTGTCCATAGATGCATCTGATTCTTACAGGACTGTGGAGTCAAAGCAAGCTCTTGTGAGAAGTTTGCAGGAGGAGGAAAGCGGCCTGCTGGAGCAGGAGCGTAATCTGAAGCTCAAACGTGAGCAGCTGCTGAAAGCACTGGCGGAAGCTTCTCCAAACATAGAGGAAGGTACAGCTCATGAGCTCTAGAGTTCTGGAGTCTGCGGGTACTGAACTGGCAGAAGAATGTGTTGATAATATTCAACTAATCTCAATTTCCAGTTTCACAGGGTGAAAATCTAGGCAAACAAGGCTCATCCAGCCATAGTAAGTCTGAAAAGCCAGTGAGAAAAAGAGGAGCACGGAAGTGAACACATTACAAAAATGCAACGCAACATTTATTTTTGATATTTAGTCAAATTAATCTGCAATAAAGATGTAAAACTATACTGACTTTTTTCCATCTTGTACTTTATTTCTAAGAATTAAAAATGTTAAACTGCTAAAAATGTTCATCAAAGGTCATTGCTGTAATGATTCAAAATATTGTCCTTTTGCTGAATTTTCAAATTTTAGCCTGGAGACACCTTCGGGGGGACAGTTAAAAGAAAATAAAATGTTCAAGTCAGCATGAAAGTATTTTTGTCCCTATGTTTCCCTATGTATACATTTTTTTTGGGTGGGACTTGATTTTGTCCATCAAGAATTCATTGGATTGTTTGATGGTTGTGATTTGCTATTGCTGTGATGACATGTCATGTACTTGGCTCTGACAGACTCCCTTTTCAATAATATCTCTTTAACGCTTCTTTTTGACATCTTCATATAGGATTTGATCTCCTCCCCGCTCTCTGACACTGCCGTCGGACCTAAAAGACATGATTGGCTACCTTCGATTAGGCTATTTTTGTTTGAAAAAAGATGTGCTTTATTGATTAGGAATAGGGGACGAAACATGATTTAAAATAAAAATTCAGTTCTGAAAAGAGAGCTGAAATGAGACTGTCCTTGGAAAACGTGCCCTTGGAGGACGGTGTATTGATAAACCTGGACGTCGAAGGCGAAACCTAGAAAGGGTCTGTGACGGGGATTTATCGGAGTAGCCTGGCATGCCAGACCAACATCAAGATGTTAGTGTTTGCAGCAAACACACTTTGCTGCAAAATATGTTTTGCTGCCGCTAGGGTGCGTCTAGATTTCTAGGCTAGTCTTTCAAGGGGTCATGAACTGGCTTTTTAAATTTTATTATATTGTTGTCTGAGGTCAACTTATAACGTTCGCTTGGTTTTTGCATTCAAAAACATCAAAATGAAGTAATAGGATTTTGTACCCTGGTTGTGAGCCTACCTAAAAAACAGTCGGTTTTTATGGGCGTGTCGCACTGAAGACTTGGAAGAAAACACCCACTGCTGTGAGTGGAGAACAGTTTTGCATAATATAATGAGTTTAACTCACCCGTCGGTGTACGTCCAAAAACGTCCATTGTTGTAAAATGGCAACCGGATTCGCCCATACATGTTCAACCCAGAGTCCGTGTGTTGCACAATATTCCTGTCAGATCCAATATAGTCGGCACAGCACCGTTCTTTACTCTTAATCGGTCTGCAAATCCAGTCTTGTTGACAAAACAATCCTCAGTGAAATGAAGCGAACAGACGACGATGTTTTACCTCATCAGCTGGAACGTCATTAAAAATAAAGTTTATCCATGCAGTCCTATTGGAATCCACAGGAAGCTTATGCAGCGACTGTCTTGCACAACCAGGCACTGCACAATATTCTGTATTGCTCGGTAGCGATCCAGTTTGTCATCACGAGGTAAGCATGATACTTAGCTATGCGTGTAATGCGCGAATCGGTGGGCGGGGCTAAACCTGCCGTGGGGAAGCAGGCGTTGATCTTCTTCTGTGGGGGTGGTGTTTTATCCTCTTTGTAGTCATAGTTCCCCACTTTTAAAAACGAGTCGTTTTTAGAGCCTGTGTCAATAAAAGCTTTTATTGGACTAACAAGGACGTTTTCAGTTCTGAAACTTTCAGGATATTCGTATAATATGATGACCTCTTAGATGTCAAAAGCTCAAGGAAAATTTGATTTCTCAGTTCATCACCCCTTTCAGATCTAGCGAGATGAACCAGTCCCCCTGGCGTACATGCGCGAGGAGTTTGTTGCCTGTAAGCATTTTGAACGGTCTCCTCATGAGCGCTTTGAGATCAGTCTGAGGCCATAGAAGGTGGAACTCTCTCTATAGCCCTTTTGCACAAAAGCTTTTCTATCTCTGAGCGAAGCGTGTTTACTGCTTCTGAACTCACTAGTTTCGAGCCGCGCCCGAAAGCGTGGAGGGCGGCGACGGAACTGTAACAGATAGCCGTATTTTATTGTGCTTAGCAACCATGGGGATATTCCCGGAATAGCTTCCCACACTTTGAAGCGCGACGCTAGCGTGTGAATGGCTATATCGCCCTGATTGTTGCACACAGCGGGCAGGACACAGTGTGTGGGTTAGGGTTAGAGTATTTATAGCAACGGGACTTACACTCTGAGAGGAGTTTATGGGCTGTTTAACAGAGCGGCCAGAAGGGGGACGCGCACACGGGCTCGCTTATGCACTAGACAAGGTTAGTGTGTGGGCAAGGGCTCTGAGAGATACACGGCACATGTGGTGCTTGTGTGTAAGGGTTAACACAGGGTTGTGGGCACACTTTCTACACATACTTTTATGCTCTTTTTGAAATTTCTCTGGGTTGCCGTGAAAACGGCGTTTTGGCGCTCACAAGCGGGAAGAGAGACCGGCTTGTTTGTGGCGGTGTACACTGCTGCAGTAGCCAGATGAGTGGGGACTGACAGAGGGCGAAGCTTTGACGGCGGTCCGGCCGCGGCGGGAGAAAGTCGTCTTTGTCTCAGCTTCCGGGGGGGTGCCTATGGTGGCTGTCTGAGCGAGAGCGAGCGCCCTGGCTGCGCTGCGAAGAGCTGGGCGCTGGGGTGGGGCTCGAGCAAGGGGCCGGGTCTCGTGAAGGGCTTGCAGAAGTAGCGCGGCGGGGCAGAAACAGATTCATGGCACTGGAGGCTTCCTGAACTTCTGAAAAACTGGCGGTCACCGATCCCCGTTTAAGCAGATCCGAAGAGACGGATTGGAGAAAGCGGCGCGTTGAGGAAAACAACTTTACAGCGTTCGAGCTGGCTATTTATACACTCGAGCCATGGCCATTTTGGCGGGCTATGACGCAGTGAGAGCGTGTCCGCTTCTCATTGGCTGCGAGTTCAGCCCAGCTCTCCCATACGCTGTAGCAGTTCTCTGTGAGCGAACCAATGAGCTGCTAGCTAACCCGCTCATGATCTGCTGCGTTGACAATGGATGCAAATTATAGGATAATTTTTTGGCTTTAACTGTTCTCAGAAAAGATGAATTTTTCCCGTAGCGTAAGCTATCTTACGCAATACGATAGAACCCCTCGTAAGAGAACCATGTCATTCTTTCTTCAGTTGTAAAGAAATTAAGATTTTTGATGAAAACATTACAGGATTTTTCTCTATATAATGTAACGTTACTTCAATGGGAATCAAACGGTTCAAGGTCCAAATCAGTGCAAACTGCAAACCTTTAAAGAATCATATATATATATATATATATATATATATATATATATATATATATATATATATATATATATAATATAATATATAGCTGTCATCATTTACTCATGCTTGTTGTTCCAAACTGGTATGACTTCTGTGGAATTTGTGTGTAAAACTTTTTGGGACAGCATTTAGTGCGAACAAACCATGTGCAAACACATGAAAAATAATACAATACAATAAAACTCGATAATACAAATAAATATTTAACAGATATATTTTCTTTTGGCCTTTGTAAAATGATGATAAAGTTCATGTTAACTGAATATCACTATGGAAGCTTGGAAACATTTGTACTAATGCACTGAGTTGAATGACGACTTTCGCGCTATAGTTTTATGACACTTCTCAGCCACCGTAGAGCACTAACACGTGTGATGTAAAATGATTCATGTCAGCCGATTCTTACTGAAAATATAAAGTCACACCGTAAAGGACCGATGTTTCTGCCATAAAGGTAAATACATTATTTTACTTTGAACCCATTTATAGTTAATTTAGCTTTAGAGACAGCAGCTCAGTGTTATCTTTCGCCGATTCAGGCATTACTATTGTAGAGAAGCAGGCTGTCAAATGGAGAGAAAACATGGACATTGCTTTGGTTTTATCAGCAGTCCATATTCTTCGGATGTTTAGTGTAATGATTAAAGGTCAGGTCACTCACAAAATTTGTTCTGTCGTTTGCAACATTCTTGCTCTCATGACGTGCCATCTCTCTCTCCCTCTTTTATTCTTGTATTTTAGGTGATAGTGGTGGTTTATTCAGTCGACTGAATCATGGCATTCCCGGAGCTGCGGAGTGTGTTTTCACTGTGCGCTGATCAGACAGTGACCGCAGGTTTGAGAGAATTGTCTGGACTGCTGAGCAACCCTGAACCTCCCCAGCCCTCTGCTGCTAAAACATCCAGTGAAGGTGAGAGAGTAAAACTGCTCTATTGATATCACTTACAGCTGCTGATCAGGTGTTTATTATTTTCTATACCATACATTTCATAACACTCACAGATGCTGGAGCAGGAAGAACTGTATCTGTCGGAGAGGTGTCAGAAAGGATGTTCTGCTTGGCCTGTCAGTGTCGTTTTGAGAGTCGTGAGGAGCAGGTAAACAGACAATCCTGATGCGATCAGTTAGGGTTATGAAATTCCACCAAGTCATGAAATCTGAGAGCTTTCTGTCCCCATAGACGGCAACGCAACTGATACTTTGACACTTCAAAAAGTTAATGATGAGATTGAGAATTGAGATTAGATTTTTTTGCTTATATTTCATTCTCCCTTATGTTGTTCCAATCTCACGATTTTTTGTCTTCAGTGGAACATAAAAAGAGATGTTAAGCATAGTGTTGATTCTGCACTTTTCCATACAGGGAAAATGGTGACCAAAAAGTACCATAAAATCATCCAAACTACTACTGTGCTGTATTCCAAATCTTTTAAAGCCACAAGAAACGTAATTTGTCATTTGTTAATCTTTGACCAGATGGAGCATTACAAACTTGACTATCACCGCTTCAACCTGAGACAGCGGCTTGAAGGAAGATCTGCGGTCACAGTGGAGGAGTTTGAGAAGAAGACTGGGACAGGTAGATTCATGAATGCTCATCATATGACCTTAATGAGAAACACTTTTGTTATTCAGTTGCACAAATGTAAGCTTTCCGTTTTTCTCTTTTTATTAAAAGGCGATATTTCAAGCATTTCGGGTTCAGACTCAGACAGTGAGGATGAGGATCTCTATGAAGAACCTGGAGATGAAGTAGTCTCTGAGGAGAAAGACAGCGCTCTGGACACAGATCAGTCCCCTTCTCGATGTTCCACCAAAATAGTCTTTCAAAACATGCAGGGACAGTACCTCTCATTGTATCGCTGTGTTCTGCAAAGCAAGAGAGTGAGTAAATGTAGCCATCATTTCTCAGATGTGTTAATCTGTGGCAGATCCTTCTCTAAGACGAACCCCCACTGAACAGTTGATTATTTTCAGGGGAATTTGCAGGTTTTCGAAATAGGTTGCAGCACTCTATTCTTTCTCATCTACTTTCGTTGTCATATTTCATTCTCAGGACAATGAAGAAGACTTGGTTTCTTCTTTACTGAAAATATCAAACAACACTATTTGGGTCATTCTGATGACTGGTGGTGGACACTTTGCTGGAGCAGTTTTTAAGGGGTCAGTGGAAAGTTCTAAAGTTCTTTTATAAGCACAAGTATTTCATGGTTAATAAATTGTTACCCCCAAATTGTATAGGAAAGAGATTCTGCAGCATAAGACGTTCCATCGGTACACAGTGAGAGCGAAGCGAGGGACTGCACAGGGACTGAGGGACTCTCAGAACCGTAGCCATGTGCCTAAATCTGCAGGGGCGGCCCTCAGGCGTTACAATGAGACAGCACTGCATAAGGTGGGAATCCAGTGTTTTCATTAATATAAATGTCCATTTTGAATTTCCAACCTTTATGTATAAAAGCTTGAATTTATGAGTCTGGAATTGTCATAGTGCAACAGTCGGGTTCCAGAAGTAAAACATTTTTCATAGGGAAATTGTTTTAACCTTTAAAGACAGCTCTGTGAGCTACAAGTCAATGGTATTTGGTTCTTTTGAAGCCGTCAGCCCACATTATTTCAACTTATTATAGTAATTGTTTAATTGTTTAAAAGTAATTGTTTACCTGGAATTCATGGTAAAAAAAAAAATCAACATTAACAACAACAACAACAACATTACCCATGGTGCTGTTCAAAAATTCCACCAATTAGAAGGTTGTAACTATCAAAACATGCAAAAACGGCTCTTTAGCTCTGCTAAAAGTGCTTCGAAGCAGCAGTAGTCATAATTTATAAATAAAAGGCATTTTTCCTAGCCTGATTTTAGCCTCTGATTTGAACACTCTGTTTCAAGGGGCTGTATAATCAACATTGTTAAACCTCGTAGCAGGTTGGCATGGTTCATGGTTCAAGACTTTTTTTTAAAAATCCTTTAGAGAAAAAAAAATACTTCCGGAACCCACACCGTTGAACTGTTGCACTCAATTGATGTACACTGTGTGCCCTACTTTAATCAGGATATTCATGATCTTCTGGAAAGCTGGGCTGAGTATTTGAAGGAGACAAGTGCCATCTTTCTGCGAGCACCAAGTTACAACAAGACCATATTTTTTGGAGGTCGTGGAGCACCATTGGACAAAAAAGATCAGAGAGTCCGCGTACTTCCTTTTGCCACACGTAGAGCAACATTTCGTGAAGTACAGCGAGTCTTTGATCTGCTCTCAACTCTACATGTTTATCGTACGTTGAGATTTATCACAATGCAATATGTTTTTCTATACAATCGTTTAATTTCTTCTTTTAAAATGAATGCCTGATGAATTTCAGAAAAAGACACAGAAATCTCCAGTATTCTCGGTCCATCGAAGAGAGTGTTGAAGAAGAAAACACCTAAACCTGTTAATCATCCAATCCCAAACACTAATGGTGCGTCTGAACACTTGACTGTATCTTAAATGCCTGGTTTCTAAAACAAAAAAGTACTTAAGGGCTCTTCTGTGGTCAATGCCTCCAGAGGAAGAAGAGGGTGAAGTAGAAAGTTCAGGGAACGAAGACTCAGGAACGCTAGAGATGGTGGAGGTGACACTGGGAACTCTGGACCTCAGAGAACATGAGATACAGCCTAATAAGAAGAAAAGGAGGAAACGGAAAGAGAAAAGAGAAGGTAATGACCTTTGCAGAACAAAAATAAAACGTTTTTAGTTAAGTTAGAAATGTAAAAAAAAAAAAAAAAAATCATTATTTTTTTTCTTTATCTTTTCACTATCCTTTGTCTTCAGAGTCAAGCAACAGAGATGTAAGTGCAGAAAAGACAGAAGATGAAACTGTGGAAGAAGGGGAACTGGAAGGTGAAGGCGACTCTAAAGAAACACAGAGGAAGTCAAGGAGCAGGAGGAAACCCAAAGGCAAAAAACATCAGCAAGAAGAAGGTAAAACACTGATGTTGGAGCCGAAAAAACAACCCACAATGGTCACAAAGCCTTTATGTCATAGAAACATGGCCCATTTAATCCTGAGTGTCAAAAGTTTGGGTCAGAAAGAAATTAATACTTTTATTTAGCAAGAATACATTAAATTGTTCAAAATGACTGTAAAGACATTTTTAATCTTACAAAATATTTCTATTTTAAATGCTGTTCTATTGAACTTTCTATCAATCAAAGATTCCTGGGGAAAAAAAGTATCACGAAAAATTCTACAAAAAAATATTAAGCAGCGCAACTGATTTCAACATTGATAACAATAAAAGTATATTATTTAAAATAACAATATTTACAATATGAATAATTTTTATTTTGTTTTTTTTCTTAAGTAAATGCAGCCTTGGTGAGCATAAGGGACTTTTTTTCAAAAACATCTAAATTAAAAAAAAAATTTACTGACCCACATATAATATGCAATGGTAGTGTAAACCTAGATTTTGGTGCAAAAAATGACTGGCATTATAAGATGAAATGGCCATTTTAAGTTGCTTGCTTCACAGTGTTCCTCCTGTCTTTTCAGATAAAGTGGATGAGTCTTGGGAATACAGTTTGAGGGACGCTCTCTACACTGCCTGTAAAACAGGGGACATCCAATCATTACGCTTCCTCCTGCAACTACCAGAGGACCAGGAAGAGGACAAAGATGGAGAGAGAAAAACTGATGAGAATCCTACCTCAAGGGTTTTATGTCTTCTCAATAAGCCCATAGACTCAGCAGGCTTTACTTTACTTCACGTGGCATCCGCAGCCGGACAGAAATCGGTCATCAACCTGTTAATGGATGCAGGGAGTGATCCAGCTAACAAGTGCGCACATGCAGAATCGCTATAATAATCTTTTAGTAGCAATACAAACATAATGCAAAATAAGCTTTCATGTGGTTAGACGGGTCATTCAATTCTAAATAGAAGCCCATTTCTTTTTCAGGGATAAGAAAGGACAGACTCCGTATGTTGTTGCTCCTGACAAAGATACCCGAAACACGTTCAGAAAATACATGGCCGAACACCCTCATAAGTATGACTACACTAAAGCACAGGTAGACTATTTTTTTTTTTTTGTTATGATGACTAGCAGTACAAACAAATGTTAACAAAAACTTCATTGTCATATCTAAAAAAAAAAAACCAAAACGAAACCTTTGCTTTCATTTAAGGCCCGACGCCACTAATGAAACTGATTCTGTTTTTTTTTTTTATTCTATTGAATTTGTATTATATTATTTGTATAAAATGTTTTTACCAAAATTGAAGATACAAAAGTTTAATGTACATCACTACATTTTTTTCCAGATTAATTTTAACAGGTTTAAAATAGATTTTGAATCTCAGATGTTTTGAATACCTTTGTATATACAGCAGTCTTATCTTTGCAACCAAAATGAATAAATCTGTCAATCACTGCTGTATATTCTTTGCTTTAATGTTTAAGGTTCCTGGACCATTGACTGAAGAAATTGAGTCCAAGAAGGCAGAGAAGAAGAAAGCCCAAAAAGCAGCACGGAAACAGAGAGAGAAAGCGCAAAAGGAAGAGAAACTTCAGAAACAGCAAGAGGAGGAGGAAAAGAGGAGGTTCACGGCACTTAGTGACAGAGAGAAGGTGACTCACTACTTTCTTTCTTCCTTCTGCTCTGTACTGTAGCTCTTTGTTTCATCGTTGACCCATTGGCTGATTGTCATTTTTCTGATGTCACAGCGAGCTCTGGCTGCAGAGAGGAGATTGGCTGAACATGTTGCCACAACTGGTGTAACGCTCACTACCATCAGGTATTATCTTTTGACTTTTGTTATCATGTAATCCCTCTATGGGGAATTAATTGTGTCCTTTATGCAAGTTGTGTTAAAAGGAAAGGTTTATCCCAAAATTAAAACTGTCATCATTAATGTTTATATAGGAGATGCTTTCAGTGTGGAGAGTCGTTGCTGGGGAAGATTCCTTTTGAATATCTGGACTACTCTTTCTGTACACCTCGATGTGTTCAAGCCCACCGCAAAGCCAACCTTGCTGCCCGGCCCTGACCTCTCACATGCTACGGCACCGCTTTAGAGAAGGGGAAGGAGGTGTGCCATGTTGTGGCCATTTTCACGTTATGAGAGTCATAACTCATAGTTGTTGTCTTTGAAAATCACCAGACTATGACAAAAGGATTACCTGAAAATGGATTAGAGAATGATTAATAAATCATAAATGGGCGAAAGATTTGAGTTAACAGTGTAAGCGTGTCTAGTTATTGTAATTTAATATTGTTTATATCAGAGTTCTGTGTAACTCTGATATTCTTTTACTTCTCGACTCATTCAGGACACAGACCAACCACTGTGATTAAAAAAAAAAAAAAAATATATATATATATATATATATATATATATATATATTGTTTTGTTTAATAAATGCAAAACTATGGCGGAATGGCAAAATGATATGTTATTAAAGTTTATACTTCCACATGGGTTAGCAGCTGCAGCAGTTTTAGATTGTAAAAATAATTTCTTTCTTGAATTCAGTTTTGAAACCATTCTTTTGGATATATTGTTTCCAAACCATTGATTTGTAATAAAAAAAAGAATGATTGACACCACAGAATGAAACAATCACTCAAATTAAAACAGGAACATCACTGTTTTTGTGTATGTTTTTACTTAATATTCATTTATTCTGAGTGGCGAGAATGCTTTTATCTTATTAAAAATATTTTACATCATACATGGCTCACAAAAAGCTGAATATAGAGTTATGATTCTGAGATTTAATCATATTCGTTTAAAGCAGATTAACTAATGCACATCAATCATTCTTAGATTTGTCATATAGAGTACTAAAATGAACTTCTGCACTTTAATGGGGAAAAATTTGCATTTTTACCACATTTTAAGAAATCAACTGACCATTAAAGCAACGCCTATGAACTTTTCCTCTGCAGTCACCCCCTACAGGTTGGAAGCGGAATTGTCCTTTACCGCTATCATAAATTATTTAGCCTACCGCATCCTACTGTCGCACGCTCGCTGTTTATCCAGCACCGGCTTTGTTATCAACAATGATCGCAGACAATTTGAGGAAGTGGCATAAAGCGGTCGAATTTTGTAGTTCTTTTTGTGCTCAGCTAGACACAGCTAGAGTATGTTGTCATGTCTTCTGTCCAGTGTTGTTGAGCTGAGGCCGGTCCATAAACAGGATTCTGCAGTGTGATGGTGCTCTTTCCAACTCCAGCACTGTGATGTTGTTTGGCTGAGTGGCACTAAGAAAAGGTCCAGGGACATACAGCGTCTGCTGGGGGCCCCTCTGGGGCCAATACCTCCCCAAGTTCACCCCATTTACCCATACCTGACCCTGAAAGAAAAAAAAAAGAATTACACAAAACTGGCACATAGTCAGTTTTAGTAAGTAAGTCTCAAACAATAACAAATACTAGATATTCTTCATTACGTATATGAATAGTGTGTCTTACCTTTGTCCATCCATTAAGTTTTACAAAAGTGTCCCACGCAAGGCCTGTAGGCTTCAAGGTTCCTGAATAGATCATTGGTCCATCTCCTGCTTCCATCCTTGACCCCGAGTGAGCTGACTGCAGCCAACCATTGGCTACTGCAGTGTCAATGTCCAGTGGGTAGATGGACCAATTAGTGAGCACATCATTTCCCAAAATGAGATTACCCAAGAGACCCTGAAAAATAGACAATCTACAATTTTTTATTTCCTTTATTCATTCTAAATGGATTTTCTCAGATGGTTTAAACATCTGAAGTATAACAAGTATAACTTACCTTATTATCATTGATATAACTGCCAAAATTAACCCTGCCCATGTTCTCCACAAGCATGTCCAACCGATCCCCTTGACGTCCCGTAACGTTTATCACCAGGACAGTGTCCCTTTCCATAATCCCTTGGTAAACCTGCTCATAGACAAGCTTGGTTTCAATCTAAACAAATTGCATTGGCAAACTGTTGTGTTCAGCTTAAGAAAGAAACTCGTACAGGTTTTGAACAACTTGAGGGTAAATAAATGATCACAGAATTTCCACTCATCGCTTTAAGCTGCAAACAGTGTTTTTTGGTTATACACACTGTTGTAGTGTCGGACTAACCATGGCAAGAACAAAACATTGTGTTTACGTGACCAAAACAAGTGGTCTGCTCACCCCATTCACAGAGACGTATGCACGATCATGGATGCCATTGAGGGGCGAGATGAGAGGGGTCGGCTCAGGAACATTCCGTGGCAGTGTCGTTCGGTAAAGCATGAAGCCATAGTACTGCACACAGTTGACATAACATAAGCTCTGACTAGCTTTTACACTTATCCAAGACCAGCCTCCAAAGACCAAACCATGTATCCACATCTAGCTAGTTATGAGAAAATACAACATTGGCTGGCTAAACTCAACAACATAAAACATTATGAATTATAAATACATTCATGGACTGTATTATGTTCTTTTAATTATCGTACCTGTTTAATCTCCTCAAACATCAAAGGATAATGAGATTGCACTGGACCTTGAGGTGACAGCGTATCTAACAAGCCGCTAATGTTGCCAACCTATAAAAGAACATGATTTGAATGGGCAAGAAATCATGCAAATTAATAAGGTTTTGAAATGTGAAATATCCACACCTTCTGAAGTGTAACAAAGCCATATGCGAACTTTGGGGTGGCTGGTGGCATCGGACCAACTGGAATATCACGAAACTGAAAACAAACACATATTATTACATATAAATGGATGTCTGTTTTTTTCTTCTTCCTGGAAATAGAAAAAAAAATACAAACAAAAAATATGTATATATTAATTAACTGTTGTAATGCTTTAGATGATCCAGTGAACAAGTGTATGTTCATCTCATTTTGATTGTTTTCACTATAATTTGGGAACTTGCAAACCAATAGATATGATTATTTATAAATTATGTGTCACTATTACATGTAAATAACATACAAAAGCCCTTTCTGTTGTTGCAAAGAATATACTACCACTGAACATTTTGGGGTCAGTAAGATTTTCTTTTTGTTTAAAATAAATTAATACTTTTATTCAGGAAGGATATATTAAAACATATTGTTCACCATACAAAAGATTTCTATTTCAAATAAATGTTCTTTTGAACTTTCCATTTATCAAAGGATCCTGAAAAAAAAACGTGTTTCCACAAAAATATTAAGAAATATTTCCTGAGCAAATCAGCCTGTTAGAATTATTTCATCATGTGACTCTAAAGACTGATTTTTTTAAATTGTACTAATATCTCACAAAATTACTACACTATAGTTTTTACTTAATTTTTGACCACTTGTTGAGCATAAGAGACTTTCAAAAGCATAAAAACATTTAATGACCCCAAACTTTTGAACCATAATATATACAGTCATTCTTTCCAGCCCTACCAACAATTTTTTCACTTTAAATTGGATACGGTCATACATGTACATCTACAGACATGCACATTCAGAATGTATTGTAAGCAAGTTCTTACATTCCTAATGACATCTCTGATGGCAAGCAGTTTGTCAGTGGGGTCTCCTGCCTCTGATAAAGGGGCATTGTAATCATAACTGGTCACCACAGACCGAAACCTGGTATCGTGGTCCGCTCCTATGAGTGATAACATTACAGTTGCTCATTAAGATGACTGCATTAACAGATATTGTCACAGATATGGGAACAGGTGCACTGAGATAGCATGGTCATACCATTCCAGTAGCCAAAGTTCGTTCCACCCTCAAACATGTACCTGCAATTAGAAGAAAACCCTTTATGCAAGTTGAATTATCATGATGCATCAGCAAAGATTTAATATTAACTAGTATTATTAATTATAACTAATGGCTCTCATTATTCTATAGAAACTATTACTTACATGTTCACACTGGCACCCATGGACAACATTTCTCCCAGTTTTTTGCACACTTTGTCAGTGTCCACATAAGCATGTTTGTCACCCCAGTGATCTAACCAGCCAGTATAGAACTCAGAATTCACCTGAAATCATGACACATCAATTACTGCCGCAGTTAAAAAAAATAAATAAATAATAATAAAAATACATAAATGTTCCCTTAAACATCTTACTTACCAGCGGGCCTTTAGGCTCAAACCTTCTTTGTCGGATGAAGGCTGTAGAGATATTGGTGTCTGAAGGGGGGAAAGTTGCAGTGTCAATAGCATCACAACGGCTTTATGTGACATTTCACATGCAGGCTTGAGTTTTTATATATATTTTTAGCCAATAAATTTAAGAGAGGTAGAGATAATATATATATATATATATACGTATATATTTTTATCGGATACTGATTGTTGATTATTTGCTGATATGAAGAAACATTTAAAAGATTTTAACGTTTACTTAACATCATTTATATTTTAACGGTTACTTAAATTCATATATGTATTATGCATGATTTAAAAACATTTAATAATAATTTTATTTTAATAATAATAATTATTCATTATTATTATTATTTTAATAATACTATACATATTAGTAATAATAGTATTATTAATAATAATAATAATAATCATTAATATTGTTTATTAATTTAATTATATTTATTTATAAATAATTTTATATAGTGTATTGAATGTATTATATTAAAATTTTTGTTCTATCAATTAAATTATATTTCTTTTTCTGCAATCTAAATATTTGCCAATTGACCAATTGATTGTTGTCTTCGTTTTGGGAGCAAACGATAACATTATCTGAATTAGTTAGTTAGTCATTTTGAATTGGCAAAAAATATCATCTCATCAAACTCATTTTGTAATGAGTCAGCTCTATGAACTTTAGAACTGAAATTATTGTTTACGGCATTACACTGGATATGCATTAGTCACAAGGACTAAAACTCTAGTTAAAATGTCTGCAGAGGTCAGTTACAATTTAGACCCAACTGACCTCACTTCTGCCTTACCTGTGCCGAAGTCTATAGTGGCGTACAGGCCCTCAAGTGTGCCACAGCTCATCTCTTTATCCGTGTTTCCATCCGTAGTAAAGAGAATGACGTCCTCCCCCAGGAACAAACGGAACAGAGTGTGGAGATGCCGCAAGTAGTTATAATCACAAGCGAAGTAGCTGCCATATTCATTCTCCACCTGATAAAAGAATAAACATTCACAAAACATACAGACTTCAACAGCCACAATAGTCGATACACTGTAAAGCACCGTTTACATGTCAACACCAAACACAATTACAGTGTAAGGGCTCCAAATCCTACAAAACATGAGCATCAATCACTGTAATAAGATATTTGCTATTATGCGCAATTGCTTACTCAGTAAATATTATTTTCTGTGGGTGGAACAGCATAGTAGTTAAATATCTCAGCTGGAAACAAAATAGTTGTAGGTTCTAACCCAGCTGTCAACATTGTGTCCTTGAGAATTTCACACCAGGTTCATCCAGTGCGACCGACCCATTCGTTTAGGGACTATACTATACCTTGCATTGGACAAATATGTCTTGTAATGCTTGTATGCTAAATTCAAGCTCTTCATTGTACCTGGACACTGATAATATTCCCTCCATTCTGATAAAGCCATGGTTTCATCTTAGTGAGCAGCACAGCCAACCAGTCACTCACTGCCTGTAAATAATCTGAAAGAGA